GCCTACTATTGAGTTAAGAGGGGCTGGGCTTACTGGATGGGGGGAAGTACCTTTCTCAGAGGAAACACTTACAGAAACATTATCTAATGGTTGTCAAGAAAGCCAAGTGAAAACACTTTTTTAACCCCTAAACTACCCACCATTAATTAACAACTTTGTGTTTTATTTCGTACCCTACCACAGTAGGCCTTCTTCATTGCAACTAGAGTAGCAGGTGCTGAGTAGTGAAGGGGAAGTACTTCCAGAGGAATACACTACAAAACACTTTATCTATGGTTGGTCAAGACAGCCAAGCTGAAAACCTTTTTAATCCCTAAACTACGCACCATTATTAACAACTTTGTGTTTATTACTAACACGTAGGCTTCTTATTCAAACAGTGGCGCGGTGTAGTGTGAAATGAAGTAGCAGTCCAATCCATCAACCTTGGTTGATGGCATGTGGTCAGTCCCACAGCCGGAGAGAGTTCATTCCACGTCGCTATTATAATCATGGGGGAGCACTAACCCGTAGGATTATACAGGCATGTGGGGGGATGGAAGGTATTCAGGCTCAATTCAGGGAACCAGAGAACAGATCCAATTCCCTAGATCAAGAGCCCCTCACCAGGGTCGAGGAGCCTCCCTTGAAGGGTCCATGGTCTGGAACGATATCATTCCAGACCGAGGGAATGATTATCTCAAATACTGTTTCTCCAAGATTGACGGACTGACTATATCATTTTCATTTCACTATTGCTATTATTACAATCAAAACCTAGCGCTAAATCTACTGAGGTCACACAGTGTTGATTTCACAACTACACTTGCTGCCTCTGTATTTGACTGAAGAAGCCTACTGTGTAGGTGAAACGTTTTAACAATAAAGATACCCAACTGTTGTACATGTCTTAATCATCAACTTGTCTGGTTTTTTTTTTTTTTTTTTACCATTTTCAACATTCTAATTTTTTTTAGCCGGCTTTCGTGGAGTGTGAGATTCCTACAGCGTTTTTCCGGTGGTTGTGTGTCGTAGCAGCGATGTTCTTCGTCCTCTTCTCTAACTTCTACATCAAGGCCTACCGCAGGCATAGGAAGGAACAGGTCAAGTGCAGTCCATTTTTTTCAGTTGTAATACTTTAGTTTTTTATATTAAATCAGAGAATGGGTGAAACTTGAACCAATGGCAGTTGAGTCTTAAAACTCACTGGCCAGTGCGTTAACCACTCGACTAGCTGACTCTGATAAGATTTTCAACTAGGTATATTTCTGTACACCACAGGGAGGTTAGCATGAGCCACCACTGTGACCACAGGTGCATTTGTGTTCACAGTGGTGGCCCATTTTAACCACCTTATGGTGTATAGATACCTAGTTGGATGAATCTTATTAAGAGCCAGTTGCACAAGCGGTTAACGCACTGGCCTCATGCCCCATCTGTGATTTGTTTGCGTCTTTAATACGATTTCGTAATTCAATTATTATTATTATTATAATCAAAAAGAAGCGCTAAGCCACAAGGGCTATACAGCTTCGTAATTCAAGCTCTTTATATTCTCATATTTCCCTGACATTTAGTTATTATGAACAGTATCACTGCCAACAGTGATTCATTTACTAATCATAGTTTTATGCTAGTTTTATTAATGAACCATATACATTTTTTTTACTTTATTCTCTTATTCAAGTTTAACCCCTAACTTGTTGCAACTTCTGTTATACCGATTGTTCCTTATACTCAGGTGGTGTCACTTTAAATTTAAGTCACAGCTGGTGTCACCTCTTGTGATTATGCTCATAGCTGGTGTCACCTTGGTTATAGTCACAATATTATTATTATAATCAAAAAGAAGTGCTAAGCCACAAGGGCTATACAGCGCTGCAGGGTAGGGAAGGAAGCGAGGGTATTGGATGGCAGAAGGGAGGAGGGATGATCAGCAGGTTACAGAAAACAGTGGGGCAGGGGATAGTACGGGGGTAGAGGGTAGCAAGAGATTGAAGTAGAAAGGGCTGAAGGTATCAGAATTTGTGAAGTAAGTCAGTTGTTGTCAAAAAGTCAATGAGAGAGTCCGGATGAAAAGTGGGTCCATGCGAGAAGGGAAGGTAAAGAGAGAGCAGCGGAGCGAAGACGACGACTGAGGTAAATTCTGCGTGCTCGTTGATAAAGTGGGCAGTCCAACAGAATGTAGCTGACTGATAATGGAACTTGGCAATTCTCACAGAGAGGAGCAAGACGCCTCTCCATGAGATATCCATGAGTAAGACGAGTATGGCCAATGCGAAGACGGGAGAGAGTAGTCTCCCAACCTCAACACTGGTGATAAGAAGACGGCCAGTAACCTATACTCGGTTTAATAGATTGAAGTTTGTTGCCGAGCATAGTAGACCAACGTTGTTGCCAACGGGTGTGAAGGTGGGAAGATATTGCAGCAAAATAGTCCGTAAATGGAATACCTCTATAAGAAACTGGTAGGTCATGTACTGCTGACCGCGCAGCAGTGTCTGCCTGTTCATTGCCCTGTACGTCAACATGACCAGGGACCCAACAAAAAACAGTATCTTTATGCTTGGTAAAGATGCGGCGTAGCCAAAGTTGGATACAGAGGACTAAGGGGTGAGGTGTATCAAATTTTTGTATAGCCTGTAAAGCACTAAGGGAGTCTGAGACAGCCACAAATGATGACACAGGCATAGATGCAATACGGATAAGTGCTGTAAGGATGGCATATAATTCAGCAGTAAAAATACTAGCCGAAGATAGTAAATGCCCTTGTACGACGCTGTCCGGAAACACAGCTGCGAATCCTACGCCGTCAGAAGACTTAGAGCCATCTGTGTACACAGCAATGGCATGAGAATGAGAGTGAAAGTGGTCAAGAAAAAGAGAGCGGGAAGCGACCATAGACAGTTGGGCTTTCGAGCAAGGGAGGGAGAAAGAACAGACTCGAACAGCTGGAACTTCCCAGGGGGGTAGGGAAAAGTGAGATGCTGCTACATGTACATAGAAAGGTGGTAGTTGAAGAGAAGACGAGTGAATGAAGGTGAAGAGAGAAGGGACGGAGTAAACAGGGGCGGCGAACAAATAAAGAATGTCTACTAATATCAGTAACCATTCTATAAATGGAAGGATTGCGGAGATCATGAGAGCGTACATAGTAGCGCAGGCAATGGGCATCACGGCGATTGGATAAGGATGGAACGTTCGCTTCTGCATAGAGGCTCTCGACAGGGGAAGAGCGAAAAGCACCAAGGCATAAACGTAATCCTTGGTGATGAATGGGGTCAAGGCTAGAGAGAGTAGCAGGAGATGCCGCTGAATAGATCTGGTCACCATAATCAACTTTCGATAAAATAAGGGTGGAATGTAGGCGAAGGAGGGTTCGACGATCAGCTCCCCATGAAAGTTGAGCAAGGGTTTTAAGAAGGTTCAGCCGGCTGTGACAAGTTGCCTTCAGAGAGGTAATGTGAGGTTTCCAGGATAACCTACGATCAAAGAGGAGGCCCAGAAACTTGACTGTGTCACGTTCAGGGATACGGGAGCCATAGAGGTACAAAGGATGATCGGAGATGACAGAGCGTCTAGTGAAAGTAATTTGGTGGGTTTTAGTGCTGGAAAATTTAAACCCACGTGTGGTGGCCCAATTGGAAACACGGTCGACTGCATGTTGGAGAGAAACTGTAATGAGGTGACAGTCAGCGCCTGCACAGGCAATAGCGAAGTCATCAACATAGAGTGATGACCAAATATTTGATGGAAGACTAGAGGCCAAATCATTAATAGCAAGGAGAAAAAGTGTTGTGCTCAGAACACATCCCTGGGGGACACCTTCAGCTTGGATAAAGTCCGGGGAGAGCACATTATTAACCCGAACACGGAAATGCCTGTCAGTTAAAAAGTTCTTAAGGAAGGATGGTAGATTGCCTCGAAGGCCTAAGGAGTGGGCTTGGGCTAAAATATTATACCTCCAAGTTGTGTCATATGCCTTCTCAAGGTCAAAAAATATGGCAATAACTGAGTGGTTATTCGCAAAGGCATTACGAACATACGTATCCAAGCGTAGTAAGGGGTCTATGGTAGAACGTCCCTTACGAAAGCCATATTGACGAGTGGAGAGACTGTTGTGGGTCTCTAAATACCACACTAAAACGTCTATTTACTAGGCGTTCCATTACTTTGCAAACTGCACTGGTAAGAGCAATGGGACGATAGTGGGAGGTTTCATGTCCTGTAGTGCCTGGTTTGCGGAAAGGGAGAACAATGGCGGATTTCCACAGCTGTGGAAGAACTCCTTGTGACCAAATAAGATTGTAAAGGCGTAATAGGACTGCAAGGGCTGACTGGTGTAAATGTTGTAGCATACGAATATGAATGTCGTCAGGCCCAGCTGCCGATGATCGACAAGCTGAGAGTGTTGCCTCCAGTTCTTGAAGTGTAAAAGGCACATTATACTGTTCTTCTCTGAGAGAAGAAAAGTCCAAGGGTGCTAACTCTCTGGCAGACTTTGAGGAAAGAAATGAGGGGCATAGATGGAGTCCCTGAGAAATACGGACCAGATGATTGCCAATTTCATTGGCAACATCTAGTGGGTTTGCTATATCAACACCGGCAACCCGCAGAACAGGAGCCGGGTCAGGAGAATATTTACCACTCAGTTTTCGTACTTTTTTCCAGACTGCACTCATAGAGGAAGCAGAGGTGATGGTGGAGGCATAATCTCGCCAGCAAGTGCCTTTAGCATCACGGATGACACGGCGAGCGATCGCACGCTTCTGTTTAAAATCAAGGAGTCTCTCTGTGGTTCTATTGTACCGATACCTGCCCCATGCAGGGCGTTTCAAACGTACTGCACGAGCACAAGCAGGAGACCACCAAGGCACGCATTTCTGAGAATGCCTGCCCGAAGTTTGGGGTATAGAATGAGAAGCTGCGGTGAAAACGGAGGACGAGAAGAGGTGTAAAAGCTCATCGATGGAGGACGAAGAAGGAACCTCTTTAAAAACAGTTAGGTGTGAGTAAAGGTTCCAATTTGCCCGATCAAATTGCCAGCGTGGGGTGCGAAAAGGTGGCGAATATGAAGGGGAAGTAAGAATGATTGGGAAATGATTGCTGTGATGTAAGTCCGGGAGAACAGACCAAGTGAAGTCTAATGCGGCGGAGGAAGAGCAGACTGAGAGATCGATGCAAGAGAGAGAATGAGTCCGAGGATCAAAATGGGTGTGAGTACCTGTATTTAAAACATGGAGGGGGTGGGTGGTAAGAAAAGCCTCTAACTGAATTCCACGGGAATCACAGTGAGACCCCCCCCCCAGAGGAAATGGTGGGCATTAAAATCACCAAGTAACAGAATCGGTGGCGGTAATGACGAAACAAGAAAGGCAATATCCGGAATAGATAATGCCCGAGAAGGAGAGAAAGATATAAAGAACAGAGCGTATACCACCTATGTAAGTGGATACGGGCTGCTGTGTAATGCAGCGAAGTATGAACAAATAGCTGATGGTACGGAATATCAGTGCGTAGAAGAAGGGCACTTTCATTAAAGGTCCCATCAGGAAAAGGATCTGAAGAATACAATAAATTATAGCCTGAGATGGGAGAAATAACAGCAGAGTGTAATTTTGGTTCCTGTAAGCAAACACCAACAGGGGCAAACTGGGAGAGTAACATCTGAAGCTCACCCCGATTACCCCTGAGGCCGCGTATATTCCACTGTAAATAGGCCATGATTGGCAATGATAAAGATACTTGAAATCCGCAGGTAAGGGTTCCTACGGACTAGAGGGGTTAGAAAAGTCCACATGCGGAGGCAGTGGAAAACGTTCAAGCAGCGAAGGAACGGTGCGCTGTGAAGAAAGGAGTTGGAGATGGAGGAGAGGAGAGAGAAAGAGCGGAAGGTGGATCAGTGTCCATTGATGGTTTGGTCTCTGCAATATATTCAGAGATTGCTTCAAGTGTTTCGGAATTCAGAGACGTCGTATGGGAGACAATATTGGAAATGGTAGGGGGAGGATGAGTAAAGATTGGAACTGTATTGGACTGTACCAAGGTAGGGGGGGGGGGCAAAAGGGTGGAGGGAACTGGAGAAGCGTGGCAGGGGACAGAAGAGGCAGAAACCTGGGAGGTGGCAGAAGAGGAAGAAACTTGGGAGGGAACAGGGGAGGAAGATACAGTATGAGGAGGAGGGTGAACCTCTACACTTGTAACTGAGCCAGTGAGAGGGGGGGGACCAGTTATAGTCACAGCAGGTGTCACCTCAGTTATATTCACTATTGACACTTCCTGACGAGTTTTGCCCTGTATGCATGTCAGTTTTTTTTTTTCAGTGGAACTTGCACATGAGTAAGTAGATTTATCAAAGCTTATTGCTTGGGTAGCGTTGAAAATGGGTTGAGCAAATTTTATGTTATGTTCTTATATAATGTCATTTTACTGTTACAGGAAGAAATTAGTACTGAAGTAACAAAGCACCTCACCAAGATGTGCTTCATTGGTGCACCATTGCCAAATAGTGTGCATAGTGGTGGTGTCGATAACATGGCAGGAGCTGTTCCCAAGAAAATGCCCAATGATGATGTTGAGGACAGCATGGGCACGGGTGCTTCCAAGGATGCGCCTAACTTGAGATTACGAAGTGGTGTTGGCCAGTAAGTTGCAGGAATTTCACGTGCTTCTCAGCAGGTACCTCAGGTGATATGATGTAAATGGTTTAGAAATCCGACAAGTTGAAGAATGATCATTAGGTTTGAACAAGCTATAAACACACGAATGACCAAATACTCTGGTCATGGCTACGTACCTACTGAGACAACAACTATACACGAAGGGAAAATGTTCATTGCTACAAATCACATCTTTGCTGAAGTTACAACCACAAATGAGGAACACTGAAGCAGGCCTAATGGCCCATACTTTGCAAGTCTGTCAAACTCACTAATAACAACATTCATCTAATCCATTATCAATGTTACACAAGGAATAAACTTTAGCCCTTAAATGGTCCAAACGTATATATACGTTTTTTCAACATCTGAAAGTATGTAAAAAAATGTAGATCATTTTTTTTTTGTTACATTTGAAAATATGTAAAAAAAAGTAGATCTATTTTTGTAGCACTACGAATTTGAACGCCGGTTTGTTTGGACCGTTTAAGGGTTAATAATCCTATTAACTTGTGCAAGTCCCACTCAAATCCAACCCCTCTCGTGCATCTCTCTAAGCTATGACTCACGAAATCGTAATGACACGATTGCAAACAAACCATACCTCGGCCGGGATTGAACCCGCGGTCAGAGAGTCTCAAAACTCCAGCCTGTCACGTTAGCCACTAGACCAGCTAGCCACAATAAGATTCGTCCAACTAGGTACATTTCTACACCATAGGAAGGTTAGCACAGGCACCTCTGTGACCACAAATGCAAGTTTTTACAGACGAATCTCCAGCTAGCGTGGCCGTGACGAACTCTAGCTCAAGTCCCTTCACTGCCGTCAAAATGACTCACGAAATCGTAATGTCCCTTCACGGCAGTGAAGGGACTTGAGCTAGAGTTCGTCACGGCCACGCTAGCTGGAGATTCGTCTGTAAAAAACTTGCATTTGCGGTCACAGTGGTGCCTGTGCTAACCTTCCTATGGTGTAGAAATATACCTAGTTGGACGAATCTTATTGTGGCTAGCTGGTCTAGTGGCTAACGCGACGGACTGGAGTTTTGAGACTCTCTGACCGCGGCTTCAATCCCGGCCGGGGTATGGTTTGTTTGCAATCGTGTCATTATGATTTCGTGAGTCATGTTGACGGCAGTGAAGGGACTTGAGCTAGAGTTCGTCACGGCCACGCTAGCTGGAGATTCGTCTGTAAAAACTTGCATTTGTGGTCACAGTGGTGCCTGTGCTAACCTTCCTATGGTGTAGAAATATACCTAGTTGGACGAATCTTATTGTGGCTAGCTGGTCTAGTGGCTAACGTGACGGGCTGGAGTTTTGAGACTCTCTGACCACGGGTTCAATCCCGGCCGGGGTATGGTTCTCTAAGCTATATTTGAAGCTACCCAAGCTTTTACCTTAAATGACTAGCACAGTATTTTCCATTTTAATATTCATTTTCCTATATCATTTCTAATTCTAAATTTATCCAATTTGAATCTATTATTTCAAGTTCATTCTTGAAGGGTTATCCCCAGAACCTTATTTACTGTATTTTGCGGCTTATAAGACTCGTTTTAGCTTCAATGGCTTGGCATCAGACATAACTGGGAGAGCTACAGCCCATCCCACACCCCAAACTTATAGCTCCTGTCACTGACCTTCAGTTTATAGGATGCAGGGTGGTTTTTGGAGTCATTTTATGGAAAAAACATGCATCTAATAAGCCACAAAATACGGTATACCTCCCTTATTTATGCCCATCTTCCACTTGTACACTCCAGTCATGTCTTCCTTCATTCTGCATCTTACAAGAGAATGTAGGTTAAGGGGTTTCACTCTCTTTGTATGGAAGATTTCTTATGCAATGGATTAATTTTGTCATTCTTCTTTCAATGTTCTCTAATGAATTTATATCCATTCTGAAGTATGGAGAACAGAACTGAGCTTAAGTGAGGCCTTACTAATACTTACTTATACTTCCGCCCCTTAGGCGCGGGTCCCAATTGGTCCACTCGGCTTAAGGCTGGCCCTGGGTGGAAGTGAGAGTCCAAGAGAGATGTTCCTGTCCATGACACCTTCATTAAGTGCCTGAGGTACAGCACTCTTCATCTACTTTCACACACTACAGTACACTCACACCTACCCACCTTTTCACACTGACCCTTGTGTAAACCCCCTCTCATTCATTCACTTGCCATCCACCTTCTCATATTCACCCACCCTCTCACATATCACTCACATTCACATACACTCTCATACCTACTTCTCACACCAACCCTCTCATGCCCCCCCCACACCCCTACCCATCCTCTCACTGTACTGTTTAACATGTAATGTTCTTTGTGTCCAGTAGTATCTCCAGAATTAGCCATCAAGAAAAATAAACTTCGAAATTTGGAAACAACCGACAATCGGCAATAACTTGCATTCCCTCCTTCCTGTTAGTCCATTAATTAGAGTTTTCACTATACAATTTTGAAAATGATGTGTTGCTTACTAATTTTTTTCTGATGCTGAGGCTCTTAGTCTGAATATTTACTCTTTAGGGGGACGTCTAAACTGCCATATCTGCACGCCTCTGGCAAGACAGTGATAGTGTGAATGATGGTGAAAGTGTTTCCTTTTTGGGTCACTCTGCCTCAGTGGGAGATGGCCGGTATGTAAAAAAAAAAAAAAATTACACCATGACAATTCTGCAGTGTGAATTTAAATGGCAAAGGTAAACCACAGCTTCTGGTAGTAACAAAGTTGCTATTGTTAATACTGTAAAAGTAGAATAAGAGGTAGGCAGTTTTTGTACCCTAGTGTGGTAGTGACTTTCAGAAATTACAAAACTCACTCACTCTCTCTGGAAACCTACCATAATTGTATATAAAATGATGTGTGTATTTTGTTAAATGTTAAATTTTTTTATTTAAATATTTTTGGCAATTTAAATAACATTCCTGGGAGCAATACTCTTATCATACACTTTAAAGACAATGCAGTAAATCAGATTTATAATGAGATTATAAATTGCATGCAATAAATGCCAAATTTCCAGAGATCTTTTTTATCCCTTATTGGGCGAGTGTTATAATAACACTGTTGCTACAAGTGTGTGAGAAACAGTTCCTAATCAACTGGGCTGTGCTGCTTATGTTGGAGTGCATGCTGTTAGCATCAACAGATACGAGATGAAGGGGCAGTGGCTCCCAAACCCTCAGCAGGTAGTCTGCAACCTTTGAAGATAATACTGTATCTGAATACAATACCTCAGTGAAACTTTTACTATGCAATACCTTTATAAAACACATGCAGATATTTAAATACCCTTCTTTTATTAAATACTATTTATATGATATTCCTCTCCTTATAATGTATTTGAATTGTTTGTATTCTGCATTCCTGCCATCTGCAATGTGTATATTCCTTACATAACAGCTCATGATTGTGAAGTTAAATGAAGTTTATGAATACCAGTCATATGAAGCTGTGGTGTACTGTAAGTCTCAGAATCCACTCTGAGAAAGCTACCAGTGCTAAAGTAGATAACACTTACTTTAGTAAATTTAAGTGTATTCTGAATGTAACTAATTTGAAAGTTACCTGCCAATTTACATATTCATGACACAGAAAGAAGTGGCCAGCAATTCTGCCAGATCATTTTATTATTATTATTATTATTGTTTTTATCACCACCACCAGTGTAGGCACTAAACCCAAGTGTCATACAAAGCTGTACGGAGGGATATGAAAGAGCAGGAATTTATAATTGTATGCAAAGAAACTGCTCACAGTAATGAGATAAAGATAGGTTGTGACAACATTTCACCAGCCAGTGGCTTCTTCAGTCCAATGCAGAGAAAGTTGGAAAATAAGTTTGAAGTAATCATTCCCTCAGCCTGGGGTTGATGGACTAAACACACTGACTCCAGGCTGAGAGACTGATCTCAAACTTCTCATCTTCCACCTTTCTCTGCACTGAACTGAAGAAGCCTCTGGCTGGCAAAATGTTTCCAAAAATAAAGATACCCAAACATTGCAGAAGTGTCACATTTATCCACTTTTCAGTTTTCTAAACCATTTATTCAAACCAAGTAGAGCTTTATCCAGTCAATGAATTGACAAAGCTCTATAGGACATTGACCTGAAACAGCTCTAAAATCAATGACTTAATAAAAGCTCTACACAGCAAAATGATGCTGCAATAAAAACTTATGCTGCACCCATGTCTTTTCTTCATAACTTTAATAAATCAAACCACCCAGCTTGCCTTAATGCTAGTGAGGGTTCTAGGCACTGAATGACCCCTATGGGTTTAGCACTTCTCCATGAATATAATAAGTGAGGGCTCTTGATCCAAGAAATTTCAGCTACCCTCCCCCACCCTATTATAAAACTTGATATCCCATTCTTCAGGTGCTGTATGGACTCCCTATGGGTCCAACACTCGCCTGAGAATATAATGACGAGTAGTGTACTGTAGTCATAAATACCGAGGTCCATTAATTCTGCAGGAGTGTTATCTATAATTGTTCACATGTGTGTAATCCGGCACTAATTTCGGCTAGAGTAAAGGTCTAGAGCAACACAGTTTTATAAGTGACCAGGAAATAATGAATGTTTACATGCTGCAGGACAAACTAATCAAAGAAAGGCCAAAAATGATGCCAGATTAGCGATGGTCGACCTGTATTATAACATTGATGGTAAGCAATCCTTCAGAGCTGTACACCAGAAGTGAATGATGGTTGCAAGTTAAACATACTGGTATTACTTTAATTAAGAAGCACATCAGAAGAAATGACAGAAGAGACAGGGAAAGTGTCACAGTTTATGCAGTAAATTCATGGGTGGCCACATGTTTTCAAAAATAATATGTGCCAAACCTATATGGGTCATACAGCATGTGACCACATACAGAATCCTCTGTAAAATTTAAATGCCTTACCGTGCTCCTAAGAAGCCTCCATATTTGACATGTTAATTATTAGGCTGATGTACATTAGCTTTCTAACATGTTAAATAGCTATGAACAGATATTTACATAAAAAATTATAACTCTTCATAGTTATTTGAAAAATATGTGACATTATGCACAGCCATCCATATATAACTGCATACACAATGTATCTACAATTTTATAACAACATTTTCCATTTGAGAAAATTTTTCTCATAATTTCGCAACAATGTAGTAAAGATTTGTCATTTATGAATTAGAGTTCTGGATGTGATGTTATCAAACCTTCAGTGACGAAATAAATCGAGAAGTTGCTATTTTGAACTATGAGAGTGGCGAGTGACCTGTAATGACTATTGTAATAAAGATAAGATGTTTTTTCTGAAGTGATCACAACAAAAAAGACAATTCTGTAATGAACACACACACTGTCCATTGATTCTGAATCAACTGACCAGGCAGATTTTATGTATTTCTAAGTCTATTAAACTGAGGGTTTTCTGTATCACATTATAAGATCCACTAACAGTTTTAGCTTTTTATACCAACAATGTACTGGTTTAGCACTTAGTTATGATTAAAATAGTGGTAATAATAATTTACAAACAGTATTCCAGCCCTGGTGGGGTGTTAATGTTGCAGTTTTATAACTGTAGTGTAAGCACACCTCTGGCAAGACAGTGATGGAGTGAATGATGAAAGTTTTTTTTTTTTCTGGCCACCCTGCCTTGGTGGGAAATGGCTGATGTGTTAATAATAAAAATAAAAATTCCAGTCTCAGTAACTAAAGGGATAATAATTTTACAATCAACACTGCTCATTATTGACAGCACTGTATTCCACAAAGCAGGGCTGCTCAACTGGCGGCTCACAGTCCGAATCCAGACCTTCTGAGTGTTATAGTTGGACTGCAGGCTTCAAGAGAAAACTTAGTTAAATAACAGCTGTTACCATATTCAGGATCAGGTGGTACACAAGCAGGATTAATACATTATTCTATCTGAATGCATACAATGAATGGAATACAGTAAAATGATGAGTACACTGCCCTATGCTCGGATTTGTTGCTTTTCACGATTACGTATAATGTTTCCAGACCTTTGCATACATTGGTGTGTCCAAGTGGACACACAGATATCATTTGACATTAATGAGTTTTAGTACCTTCACCCTAAAGGATGGCTGGGAATGTAATAGTTCAAAGGATTATTAAACAGCTATGTTTGTGTACTTCTGGCTAGAATGCTTCTGAATGATGATGGTTAAAGCATTTCCTTCTTTGGGTCACCCTAACCTAAGTGGGAAAATGTCCATTGGCAAATCAAAGCCAAAAAATAATTTGCAATAACCTTTGCCAACTGTTAACCTGAGATGTAAATGCTGAAATTACAACTACCATCCCTGTCCATACCACAGTCTATTCTGAGAGTCACCCTGCTGCAACATCTGAGTCTCTCCATCACTCTCCTCATCTTCACTCTCGCTGCTACTGTTAGATTCTTGGTCTCCTTGTTCCTCCATTGTATTTTCATTGTTATCCATGTATGCTGATGACCCACTTTCTGTGAAAAAAGTAAAAAAATCCTCTTCGTATACTAAAGGCATTAACTTAACATTAAATCATATATTTCTAAAGATGAAGACCTTAATATGTTATTAAAAACTGAAAACTGAATGCAGTATTTAATAAACAGCCTTGAGTGGGAAACAGTGCCTGCACTCTGAAGGATGGGTGGGAATGTTGCAGGAGAGCGTCCTTAGAACTGTGATGCCTGAATATTTCTGGTCGGATAGTGATTACACTCTCTGCATATCCAAGGGCTGGAATACGAATACAGGTTGACCATCACTAATCCGGCATCATTTTTGGCCTTTCTTTGATTATTTCTTGGTCATTTATAAAACTACATTGCTCTAGACCTTTACACTAGCCGAAATTAGTGCCAGATTAGTGATGGAACTAGATTAGTGATTACTGCATCAGTGATGGCCGACCTGTACAATATGTCCATACAAATGCTCCTACCTTTCATAGTCCTTCAGCGGAATCTAATATTTCTCTTCTGTTAGACTCTTCATTTCCTTTTCCCACCAATGTTCCAATTTTTGACAATATCATTCATATTATAAAAATAACTAAGCACTAAACCCATAAGGGTCATACTGTAGCACTGCAGGATAGGGTGTGCTAAAGATGTAATATACTTGATCAGAGACCAGCAAGGGTGAAAAATATAAAAAAGGTAAAGCTGACAATTTTCTCTTTTACCTTCCATCTGAGTATTTCCAATATGGTAACCCAGTCCACGGCTGATGAACCTTGCAGCTGCTTCAGTATTTAAGCGCTGGCGATGAGCTCTAGCCTCTATCTCCGAGATACGCGCCTGGGTTTCCTTCAGTCTTGCCATCTCCACCTTACAGTCCTCTCGAAGCGTTGCAGCAGTATCTTCTCCACTGGTCCTCATCAAAACTATGGAACAGCAATATCAAATACAAAGTTAAATAAAAAAATATTTACAGAAGAAAACTTGGTGACTCCAAATGAAACATACACAATTTAAAGCCACATTAATTATATGAATGAAATATTACAATATGTTGAAGTTAGATTGTGTGGAGTGTAGTACAAATTCAAAGGACAGAGTTGTTATTATTTACTATTACATATACAGTGGACCCCCGGTTAACGAACTTTTTTCATTCCAGTAGTATGTTCAGGTGCCAGTACTGACCGAATTTTTTCCCATAAGGAATATTGTGAAGTAGATTAGTCCATTTCAGACCCCCAAACATACACGTACAAACGCACTTACATAAATACACTTACATAATTGGTCGCATTTGGAGGTGATCGTTAAGCGGGGGTCCACTGTAATTGTTGGGGGACAAGAAATTTTCAATGGATATGCTAATGGAATGTGAGCAGGGTAACTTTATGAAGGGATTTAGGGAAAACTAGTCAGCTGTACTTGAGGTAGGAAGGGCAGTGACTGCACTCTGAAGGAAGGGTGGGGAATGCTGAAGTCGGAGAGGTAACGGACTGTGATATCAGCTCATTTCTGATGGCAATTGAGTGAATATTGGTGAATGTGCTTTCTTTGAGTCACCCTGCCTTGGCAGGTGACAGCCACTGAGTTAAAAAATAATAATTATAATTACAGCCTCTCCTCACTTAACGACAGAGTTCCGTTCATAAGACCATGCTGGTAAAAGAATTCGTCGCTAAGCAACGAGCATACTATAATGATAGTGGATTCGTGTCAACCATCTTTGATATTCTTCTAATGCCACCTTTGCACAATTTATAACATTTTTATTATATTTTTAAATGTTTATACAGTAGTGTACAGTGGACCCTCGGCCAACAAAGGCATCGTCCAACAAAGCGTTTGAGCATAAAAATTTTGGCCTGACCAACTATGAAAAACTCAACCAACATGATTTGCCCTGAGCCTTTCCGTCCAGCCTGAGCACCTCAGCTGCCCTTCCATCATTGTTTACAAGCCAGGGTGGATGGTTCCACACATATATTCGATAAATTTTGTATTATTCCAATGTTTTTAGTGCTCGTAACTGCTAAATAAGCCACCATGGGCCCAAAGAAAGCTTCTAGTGCCAACCCTGTGGTAAAAAGGGTGAGAAATACTATCGAAATACTATTGTACCACAGTCAGCTGCTGCTGCACCACAGTCAGCTGTTGTTGCACCACCATCAGCTGCTGCTGCACCACCATCAGCTGCTGCTCCACCACCATCAGCTGAAGATGTGGAGAGAGTGTTTTTGGTGTGGCTTAACGAGAAACAATTACCAAGAAACAATTACCCCAGAGGGTTAGCCACCCAGGATAACCCAAGAAAGTCAGTGCATCATCGAAGAATGTCTAACTTATTTCCACTGGGGTCCTTAATCTTGTCCCCCAGGATGTGACCCACACCAGTCGACTAACACCCAGGTGAACAGGAAAAAATGCCTGGAACTAGTGCTCATATTGGTGAATTTAAGGCCAGCAAAGGTTGGTTGGAGAGATTTAAGAATCGTAGTGGCATACACAGTGTGATAAGGCATGGTGAAGCTGAAAAATTCCAACCCCAACAAGTGTTCAATTGTGACGAAACAGGCCTGTTCTGGACCTACATTACTCAGGAGGAAAAGGCACTTCCAGGACACAAGCCTATGAAAGACAGGCTAACTCTCATGTTTTGTTGTAATGCTAGTGGGGATTGCAAAGTGAAGCCTTTACTTATGTATCACTCTGAAAATCCCAGTGTTCAAGAAAAAGTGTCTCATCACTCATTAACATCTTCAACTGAGGTAAGTGTCATTTTAACATTTATTTATGTAGTTACTGTGCATGTCTCATTGTTTTCTTTGTAGGGAAATGCATATTTCATGAAAAAAACAAAAAAAAATCTAATACTTTTGGCTGTCTGGAACGGATTAATTGGATTTCCATTAATTCTTATGGGGAAAATTAATTCGACTAACGATAAATTCGCCTAAAGATAAGCTCTCTGGAACGGATTAATATCGTTGGTCGAGGGTCCACTGTACTGTGTATCATAATAAACAGAATAGAGGAAATCATCTCTAATATACATTATTTAGGTATGCATATTGGTCAGAGCCCATCGTAAGTCGAAGTTGTTGGTAAACAAGTATACGTCGCTAAGTGAAGAGAGGCTGTATTATTATTATTATTATTATTATTATTATTATTATTATTATATTGGCAGTTTGGAGGGATATGTTGTGCATCTTTATATGTGTATGCTTCTAGACTGTTGTATTCTGAGCACCTCTGCAAAAACAGTGATAATGTGCGAGTGTGGTGAAAGTGTTGAATGATGATGAAAGTATTTTCTTTTTGGGGATTTTCTTTCTTTTTTGGGTCACCCTGCCTTGGTGGGAGACGGCCGACTTGTTGAAAAAAAAAAAAAAATTATTATTATTATTATTATTATTATTATTATTATTATTATTATATTTCTGGAGAAGCTCTAAGCCCATAAGAGCCATACAGCACCTGGGATATGGGAGGTAATCAGGTTTGATGCAAAGAAGGGATAGGGAGTTCCAATCCACAGGCCAAAAGCTCTTGGAGAGTATTAACTGAAAACAGGGAACCACACATCTTTGGTAACTAAACTAATGCATAAATAAAACAAAGTGTTTAAATACTTTATTACTTACCCCAAAATAAGGCATTTATAGTGTAGATCTCCATCATACCTATTTTGGCACGGTCAAGTGGCGATAACTGGAATTTAAAAGAAAAAATAAAGAGGCAATTTTCTATTCTAGTGCTTTAAATTTCAAGGAGAATTAAGAAAAAAAAGGTTGATTATGAACCTAATGTATCATTAGAAAAACACTGGAAAGTGTAAATTCGTATTCATGAGGTATGACTGGTGAATATTTCAAGCATACAGTGAAACCTTAATATTTGTACATCCCTATATTCGTACAACTCTATATTCACCCAACTAATCCAAAAAAAATTTCACTCGGTATTCGGACGTTGCCTGATATTCAACCTAAACAAAACGGTCCATCTGGATGAAGTCCAATGAAGTTCCGTGAAATTTTGGGGGGTATTTCGTTATTCTGTGGTGTTTTTTAAATATTTTCATTGAAAATAAGTAATCACGACCCCAAAAAATAGTAGTGATCCAAACAATCCTAAAAGGAAAGCAGTGAAAACAACAATTAAAGTGAAAAAAGAACTCATTGTGAAGTGGGAACACGTGTCGGACCTGGCCACTCAATATGGTATGGCGAAATCCACCATATCATCCATACTGAAAAAATAAAGAGGCTATAAAAGTGGTTGATGTGGCAAAAGTAGTGAAAATTTTTGCTGTGAAAAGGCCACAGATAATTGAAGAAATGGAAAAACTTTTGTTAGTGTGGATTAACAAAAAATGGGTTAATCCAATTTACATTATTTCTTAAGGGAAAAATTGATTCGGTATCCATACAACTCATTATTCGAACAGCCTCCTGGAATGGATTAAGTTCGAACATCAAGGTACCACCGTACTATAATTACAGGAGGGCACAGCTCTACAGTACTTCACTTCATGGCGCTTCGCTAATACAGCGGTTTTCAATTATACCCATTCTTCAGTTATTCAGATTTCTTACAATAAATATATTCACTACCCATTATCAGCAAAGGATGGAAATATTTTAAAGAAATAATGTGTGTATTGTATACGTATATACATTTTAAAGGTCTGGCTCTATTGCTCACTTAATATATGATAATATAAACATTTTATCAAGCTTTTATATTCATTTGAAAGTGGAAAAGGCTATGTTTCACCTTACAGTAATTTTTGCTTTACAGCAGTAGCCCAGAACCTAACCTGATGTGTAAGTGGGTCCCTCCTGTATCTTAAAAAAAATACAGAATATAAGTTACAAGCAAAACACGATATTCTCAGATTCAGTTAGGAGGAGCATTGAAATTAAATACATTTTACACAAAAATTAATCTATACATACAGTAGGACCCCTGTATCCGCGAGGGATATGTTCCAAGGACCTGCCGTGGATACCAAAATCATGGATAGTAGTAAACCCTAAATATAACTCCTATATATACCTATTAAAAAATTTAATTGATAAATTATGCACTTTTTCACTGATGGGAAGCACTTCACGGCTTCTCTTTATCTCTGTACCCGCGAGGGATATGTTCCAAGGACCTGGCGTGGATACCAAAATCATGGATAGTAGTAAACCCTAAATATAACTCCTATATATACCTATTAAAAAATTTAATTGATAAATTATGCACTTTTTCACTGATGGGAAGCACTTCACGGTTTCTCTTTTGCTTTGAAGAACTGCCAGCTTTTCTCCTTTTGCACTTTGGGCCATTATTATGCAAAATTAAGAGATATTTTGAAGTCACAGTAAACCGTGGATAACTGAAACCACGGATATTAACCCTTTCAGGGTCCACAGGCCCTCTCAGAGATTTGTTCTCAGGGTCCCCCAAATTTCAAAAAAAAAAAAATTATTTTTTCTTATGAAAAGATAGAGAATCTTTTCCTGATCATAAAGACACCAAAAGTATGAAATTTGATGGAAAACTTACGGAATTATGCTCTCGTGAAATTAGTGGTCTCGACGATGTTTACGCATCGGCGATTTTGCCCACTTTGAGCCCTATTTTCGGCCAATTCCAATGTACTAGTTGACAGAAATCATAACTATTTCGCTAGAACTCCATTTTTTCTATCGAATGAGTACAAGAAACCACCAATTTACGGATTTCAACTATCCAATGCAGTGGTTAGAATTTAGCAATTTTGCCAATTTCACACAAATTTCATAAGATGACAATATCCAAATAGGGTCCAGAATAAACAAGAAAGACATTCCTGGCACTAAAATAACATTTCCTCTGTTCATCAGTCATGTCCCCAGGCCCCTCTTACATTTTTTTTGCTTTCCGCTTTGAATTTTTATTCTCACAAAAAAATAAGATTTACTGTTATGCAGACTACTGCATTAGTGTAGAAATGGTAAAAATAATATCGGCGCACTTGTGAAAGAATATTAGACTCGCCAGTTGACGTGTATTGGATGCTTAGCATGATTTGTTGACTTTTGAACTTTGGTAAAAATCGAACATTTCTGCTACTTTGAGCTCAATTTCAAGGTACTTTTCATTGTAAAACCAGTCAAAATCATCTCAATTTATGTAATATGTCTTCCATTCTATACAATGAGACCAGGAAAACTAGAATACAACAATAAATACCATACAAAAATATAGTGCAAAGTCTCTGTTTTAATCCAAAAACACGGTCAGTTTTTTTCTCATTACGCACTGTGCTGCAGGATTTTTTTAATACTGCGCACACTGACCACATAGACCCATTCTTTCATATGTAGGCCTACCAGCTTTCTCTCACTAGATTTGAAGGCGCTAGAATTTATGCGTACTAGTACGTCATGGACACTGGTGCGTAAGCCATACTAGTACATCCGAAACCCTGAAAGAGTTAAATCAGTGGATATGGGGGGTTCTACTGTATTTCCATTAGAATATGATTAAAAGTGTGTTATCACCATAGGTGTTGAAATCTGCAGAATACTGTGTGCTATATCAAGTGTAAAAATACCATAAGAAAAATTAACAGAACAAGCACCAAAGCACTTTCCCACATTTTCACACATGGATAACTAGGATAATTCCAAATGTTAGAATATAGTATGTACAGACTATGGAACTAAACTCTTTTCCTGGCTGAGGGACTGACAATCTTAAGTTACTACTGAAAGGCTGATGGACTGATCACATCATCTTTACCTCTCCACTACACCTACTGTCCCCATATTTGTTCTCTATTTTACTGAAGAAAGCCTACCATGTAGGCAAAACATTTCAACCATAAAGATCCCCAACTGTTGTGCATGTATCTCACCTATTTGTTGGTACATGCCTTTTACAAAATATGGCAACAGTTACAGATGTTTTGAGAGATTAGAGATGAGAACAAATGAGGATAAACTGAATTATAAAAAGTTGGTTAACATAAATTAAAATTTCAAATTTACTTCTTTGCAAGTAGTACATTGTTATTTCCTCTATTTATTACCACTGTGCAACCATCACTGACTTTAGAGAAATAAATTTTGGCCAGTAAAAATTGCTGGAGACAAAGTTCATCTCACCTTACTGAACACTTCATGGTATGGACAAGATATTAGAGGTGCAAGATCTTTCTCCAGGGCATCAACTACCTTGAGCAAATTGAGCATTTTAGGTGCCATTCCTTGTGGAAAGTCCTGGTTCACTGAACTCCCTAAGTCCTGCAAAATATATTAATTAGCACAGAATCTGTAAAGGTGTTGCAAATGTATGAAAATATGTACATGCTGAAGTTGTAAGTTAAAAGCTGTAAAAAAAAATAAAAATTATGAAGCCAGCAAGACTCACGTTAGAGTACATAAGAGAGTAGAAGAATATTTACCAGTAAAAGTAGGTCTCAGCTCAGTGTCATTCAAATTGTGATGTTTGCACACTTCTGGCAACACAGTTATTACATGAATGATGGTGTATGTATCTCCTTTTCAACAACCCTATCTTAATAGTAGATGGATGGTGTGATGAAAAAACACGCTTAAGATGGGTATAAAGGTAGAAAACAGAATGTTGTAGTTGGGTTTACTCATATGGACAGAGATCACTGTCACATGGACAGTGATCCCTGGAATCATGAACAGAATTGCAGTATATGGTACATATGACTGACACCTGAAGGACCTCTGTTTAATTCTGGGCAAGACAGAGTATGGGCAAGTTTGTAACATCTACTGTTCACTTAACAGTAAACAGATAGCTAAGACTAATAAACTGACAGCTGGGTGCCCAAACATACGTAGCTACTGAGCCAACAGCTGTGCAAGGTGCACTATTAAGCAGTTATTAATCCAGATGCTTAACATTCTAAGGTCTTTAAAAAAGTGGTATATGTATATGTATGTGTGTGCACACACACACACACACATTATATAGTAATATAAAGTAAAAATGTGAAATTAAATGTTTTAATGATGCATGTGCAAGAGATAACATTTTGTTTGGATTTTTAACCCCAGAGGGCTAGCCACCCAGTGCATCATCAAGGACTCTGTCTTATTTCCATTGGGGCCCTTAAAGCTTGTCCCTCAGAATGCGACCCACACCAGTCGACTAACACCCAGGTACCTACTAGCTTGCTAGGTGAATGGGAACAACAGATGTAAGGAAACACACCCAATGTTTTCACCCTTGCCGAGGATCAAACCACGGACACTGTGTGAGGTGAGAGCGTTGCCTACCAGTATAATTTTGTCTAAACGAGCTGCACAACATGGGTTCTAATGGTCATACCACCTTAAAGACAATGTCAGCTAGGCCTGTATACCTTGTACATGTACTGATAGAAATAAAGATATTATTATCATATTATTATTATAGTGAGCAATATTAAACAACTTAGGGTTGGCTACAATTGGCAATGCTCCAGCCTCACGCACCCGTGTCCAGGGTTCAATTCTTAGCACAAGTGGAAATATTGGGCGTGTTTCCTTACATCTGCTGTCCCTGTTCACCTAGCAGTAAGTAGGTACCGGAGTGTTAGGTGACTGGTGTGTGTCGCATCCTGGGGGACAAGACTGAAGGATCACAAATGAAATAAAAGACAGTCCTTAATGCACTGACTTGTTGGGTTATCCTGGGTGGCTAACCCTCCCTACCCTGGGTTTTTCCTGGGGGGCTAACCCTCCCTACCCTGGGTTATCCTGGGTGGCTAACCCTCCCTACCCTGGGTTATCCTGGGGGGCTAACCCTCCCTACCCTGGGTTATCCTGGGTGGCTAACCCTCCCTACCCTGGGTTATCCTGGGGGGCACAGAAGGCAATCAGGTTCGATCCAAGGAAGGTGAGAACAATCCTAATTCATTGGATCAAGAGCCCTTCACCAGCCCCCTTCACCTCCCTTGCGGGGCCTTGAAGGATAAATAAGACAAAAATACAAAATTAAGGTACGCACCTCCTCCATCTTCTCACTTTACAGGAAAGCTTTCAGCTCTCTCTCTCTCTTCTTAAGCTGTCTTATAAGCTTAGTGTGCACCAGGTACCTTCTCTGCTAAGCTGGTAGTTACTCTAGACAAGTATCTTCTGAACTACCTGGTTCTTCTTTCTTCTTCTATGTTGGGTTTATAAGGGCCACTGACAGCATCAGCCGGAGTATCGAGTGCGGTTTATCGATGGTACCAGGAAGATTTGTTGCCCAAAGCTGGGCGATGAAAGAAAAAGGAACAAAATTTTCTTTGTAAATAGAGATAGAAACTTGAAGTTTCCAATTAGATCCGGTAGACGCCCTTGCCAAGCTTCAGCAGAGAGGGGCACTCACACTCCCACCTGAGTTCAGTAACCGACTGCTCACCAAAGACGGTTGAACGGTTCAGACCTGAGGGTTGGTGAGGATGGGAAGGAAGAGGAGAGGGAGGGCAGGAAAAATGGAAGAGGTTAGGAGGGTGGAGTAGGAGGTAGGGTATCAGGGGTGAGTGGTCCGTCCACTCTGGGGCGTGATGTGTAAAGGTACTGCAGGAGGTTGTGTTGGAGCAAGATGTGCTGGTGGCAGCAGTGTCGGTAGAGTGGGGCCGGTACTCAGGCGCCTGGCAGGAGATGGCTGGTGGTGCCCAATAAAACAGGGTCATTTTGGAGCCACACCCCAGCTTTAGCTAAATAGCAAAGTGCTGGGGGACTTTGGTAGGTGATGATTTATACTGTGCTGCAGTGGGAGCCGTTGATGACTGCGTTGAATTTTGTTCTTCAGAGGTGTAGTACCTTCACTTTGAGGTGGATGTTCCTTTCATCTTCCTCATATACATCAATGATCTTCCAAACGTATCTCAACACCTGAACCCCATTCTCTTTGCTGACGACACGACTTATGTCATCTCTCACCCTAATCTGACCACCCTCTACACCATTGTTAATGAGGAGCTGATCAAAATATCGACTTGGATGACAGCCAATAAACTTACGCTTAACACTGACAAAACCTACTACATTATGTTTAGTAGCAGAGCAGGAGATGCGCAAATTAACATTAAGATCGACAACACTCTAATTGCCAGGCATAATGAGGGCAAATTCCTAGGCCTATACCTCGACAACAACCTGAACTTCAGCACCCATATCCAACACATAACCAAAAAAGTATCCAAAATGGTTGGGATCCTCTCCAAGATACGATACTACGTGCCGCAAACTGCCCTTCTCACACTATACCATTCACTTATATATCCATACCTCACCTATGCTATCTGTGCTTGGGGTTCAACTGCAGCAACACACCTAAAGCCAATAATAACCCAACAAAAAGTTGCAGTAAGAATAATCACTAAATCCCATCCCTGGCAACACACCCCCCACTCTTCATAGATCTAAACTTACTCCCTGTTCAGTACATCCACACTTACTACTGTGCAGTCTACATCTACAGTACCTTAAATTCCAATATTAACCTTGACCTAAAACGCTTTCTTGATAGTTGTGACAGAACCCACAGGCACAACACCAGACACAAACATCTCTATGACATTCCCTGTGTCCGACTAAACCTTTACAAAAATTCAATGTATGTCAAAGGCCCTAAAATCTGGAACACCCTACTTGAAAATTCTAAAACTGCAGACACATTCATCACCTTCAAAACTACCATCAGAAAACATCTTATCTCCCTGATACACCCTGTCAACTAATTACACGAATACCACCTGGTGGTTAACACTTACACTCACCCATTTGACCATAAACAGAAATATCAATCTCAATCTCAAAATAATGAATCTTAACTAGTCATAAGCTGGCCTGTGATACTCCAATACTGAAATTATGTATAGTGCCAAAACAAAAGCATTCACATTGCTAAACTCACAAACTAGTATTTAGTCACTTAGCCATAATACCAACTTACCTCATAATTTTGTAATATTTTAAACGTAAGATTTAATCTAAGTCTGCCCGAAATGCCTAGCCATGCTAGGTGTTCTATTGGTACACTCTGTAATTATTATTTTACTACATGTAAACCACACAATAACCAAATTCTGTAAACTCAGCATTGTAATCCTTATAGAGAATAAACTTTGAATTTGAATTTGAATTTGAATCGTTGAGGATGTCGAGTATCGATTGTAGGGTTCGAGGTGGGTTTCCGTGGCAGGTGTACTTTGCGGTGTTGTCTAGGAGTCGTTGTCTGAGTTCTGAGCTGGGCATAGCATTGCTGTATTGTTTCGTGGTGTAGAACGTGGTGGTTGGAGGGTGGGCTAGATGAGTCGGGGTTTCTGGTGGGTCAGTCTCAGTAGGAGTAGAGGCAGGTGGTGTTGGGTTCTCGTGGGTGGGTCCTTCTGAGGTCTCAGAGGTTTCTAGTTGGTTCTCGTTAGTGGGTTCTTCTGAGGTCTCAGAGATCTCTGATTGGGCCGACTCAGTGTCTGGTAGTGGTGGAGCAACGACAATGTTGGTGACATTTGCCGTATATTGGAGAATCTCGGTGGAAGGTGGTGACGCGGGAAATGTGAAACTTTGCATGTTGTTGAGCTTGAAGAGTTCGCTGATGGGGGTATAGAAGGAGCCGGGCTCAGCTGCATTCTGTACATGGACATACATGATGCAGTAAAGGATTTTGGTGGAGTCACCAGCAGGAGCTGGCAGAGGAGTGGTGGAGGCTGCTTGTGTGGCTTCTGGGATCTTGGTGGAGTCTGCCTGAAGCTTGGTGATGGTGGCATATGAGGTTGTTTGTGGGTTGGGTTTGTTTTGTTGATGGAATTTTCTTTACTATGTCTCTTCTGGTAGGGCATCTGACTGCAAGAGTGTGGTGATCATTCTTGCAGTTCAGGCATTTAGGTGGTGCAGCAGTGGTGCAGTTTTTGGAATTGTAACCTTCGAGGTCACAGGTGGGACAGAATTTTTTGTCCTTGGCAGTGCAGTCTTTGGTGGTATGCAGGTAAGAGTAGCAGTTGTAGCAGTGTGGGATTTGTAGAAATTTTTCTTCTTCGATGAAGGTTGAGTTGATGTGGAAGTAGTGAATAGCCAGGCCCTCAGCTAGAGCTCTGGTTGCCATGTTGACGTCGCTGAAGGTCACCTTCAGCATGGATGAAGCATTGGGTATCTTGGTAATGTAGTCCACCTTAGCCCAGGGGTTCTGTGCTTCAATAGATGATTTGATATCTTCAGTGGCCTGTGCAGTGATAAGGTTGTCGAGTCGTTTGAGGAATACAGTTCTCCTGGCCCTCAGAGCCGGGGAAGTCAAGACAAGGAATCCCTGGTCTCGTAGAGTGGTGGTAGCAGTAGTGGTAAGTAGTTTCTCGGCCTCGGTGTCACCAGTTGTTGCAACCCCTGAATGGGTTGCAATGATTAATATGTATATATATAATTATTACCTTTTCATATAATTTTATATTGCTTATATTTGCGATAATAGCTAAATCGTAAATGTATTGCTTTATATTATTATTTGACTTAGTTATGTTGTAACATATATGTAACACATATATTATGTGCTCAGTTCAAGTCTTGATTGTCTAACTACTGTAATTATCACTCTTTGCTCGTTATTCTGCCGGCTTCTGTTGCTGAGCTGCAGCTGTCCACGGAGCTATCACGTGATCGAGGGAGGGGGTGTCCTCACCTCTCCTGAATTATTCAGTCTGGTCTAGACTCTCTTGGTGGTTGGACATATCCCTGACAAGTGCCTAAATCTCCCTTACAGGCCCTTGTTGGAAGATCGTCTCTAGCTTCTTGTAGGTTATGTGGGACTCTGTTCACAGAACATTGTATAGACTTAGTGATTTTCGACGTTGTACTGAGGTTGTGTGTCTCAAAGACACTCTGAGCAACTCAGGTCCTGAGCTGTAGCTTCTGACCTAACTTGTACTGGTATCTGTGTATTGTCACAGTCGGGTATTTTCTTATGCTGAACTTAGATTCAGTCGTATGGGAGTTTTGTGACTTTTGTGGAGGATCTGCTGATGGTCCCTATTTAGTGTCGTTATATTATCTCCTAGATCCTGATTGTGTCGCAGTTGCTTGTTATATTGCTATTGGGCTTAGCATTCTTTTTATTGTTCAAGCAGACTGTTCTGATAGCCAGTTGGTCAAGAAATTAGTTTATTTGAGGACTTTGTCAGTCACTTGTTTAAGTCTAGTCTAGTCGTGAGACATAGTGAACTACTTAGAGCACTTACACACATACGCACAAACTTACTTGTACATATTTATAATATCTTATTAAATGTTAATGTACCAGACGGTACTTAAGACATAATATGTGATATGTGCTTTCAACACAATACTACTGTACACGAGAGAAGTGATTATTATTATTTTGATTATTATTAATTTAATTTACTTTGATAATATATCTCTAGACGATACTTAATAAATTTATTAAATTTTAATTTCTCTAGTTAGTAGCCTACCAGTTGTAATCCTGAAGCACTAATAATTCATACTGAATTCTAATGGATAATTGGACAAGGATACTGACTAATTGTTACGAAAACCCAGTAACAGGCTGGATGCTAGAAGGGCAGTCCTTTCTTGTATTCACTGGAGATCTCTAAGCTTTTAGAATCGCGTTTTTTGTAACACCAGTGCAGACGACAACAAAGGCCTCCTTGAGCGATAAAATCGTATTACATTTGACCTGCAGTCTGCTACTGATGACAGCTGCAAGTGCTAGTTTGGACGAGTCGTTGATTGTCCCACTCACAGGTTTGATCTTCACCATGTTAGAGTAATGCATCTTGAGTAATCAGTGTTCCCCTCCCCAACGGGGATCCCACCAAAGACCGTTAAAGAATTTTCCGCAGAGCGGAAAAAATGGAGCTGGCTAAAAGTAAGCCGATGTACAGGTACCCCTCCTGTAAGTAAGTTTATTCAGGTATACACAAATACAGTTACATATAATTATCATACATAGCAGCATATGTGTAGAGAATCTAGGATAATCCCAAAAAGTCAGACAGTGACTTATTTCCATTGGGGTCCTTTATACTTATTTCCATTGGGGTCCTTTATACTTATTTCCATTGGGGTCCTTTATACTTATTTTCATTGGGGTCCTTTATACTTATTTCCATTGGGGTCCTTTATACTTATTTCCATTGGGGTCCTTTATACTTATTTCCATTGGGGTCCTTGGAGAGTGCCCGGCGGGCTAAATAGATGAGGACAAGCGTCCCAGTGAGAACGGGAGGCGAGAGAGAGATGTCCACACCCGACGAAGGCTGGAGCAGAAGTCCACCTGGTTGCTGGCGGTGATTAGCTCTCACTGTAGTAGTTGAGGGTTTTGAGGGCCGCCGCAACTCCAGCTGCGTTCAA